GCTATTTTTGGGTTGAGTGCTCATTATCTATGAGGCCAAGTTAATTGTGTTTAGAGCTCCTTTGTTTCTTTGTTAAGTTTCTTCCTAGTTCTGTCATTTTTCGAAAGTTGTATGTTAAAATCTCTTATTATTTTAGAGTTGTCTATTTCTTCAGTTCTATTAGGTTTGCTGTTCTGTGGGAGAAAGATGAGGCTTTCTGCTCCTGTAAATAGTTACAGTCTTGGAAACCCTGTACAGGGTTGCTATGAGTCGGAACTGACTCCACAGCACATAGCAACAACAACAGTTAGGTTTGATTTATGTATTTTGAGTGTCTTTCTTTGGGAGCATAGATAGTTATTGTGGTTTGTCATCTTGCTCAGTTGACCTTAGGTTGTTGTTGTCAGGTGCCATCGAGTTGGAACCGACTCATATCGACCCCATGCACAGCAGAACGAAACAATGTCCGATCCTGGGCCAACCTCACTACCGCTGCCACACTTGATGCCATCAATGATGCCACCTGACTGATCCATCTCGTTGGGGGTCTTCCTCTTTTTCTCTGACCCTCCATTTTACCGAGTATGACATTAGACTTGTGAATTTTATACTTTTTAAAACTTTTTCAAACTTGTGAACTGAGTGAAGGTTAACATTCAAGATCATCAGCTTTACTATATTCTTTGTTTCATCTCAATGACTACAGTCCCCTCCTTGCAACAAGTTGTCCTACTTACTCCCTGCGGATTCCCTTTTGCATCTTACATTTCAAAAATGAACAACCATAATTTTTTTATGTACACATTCAAAACTAAAAATGCATATTCATTTAAATGTTCTAAGAGCATATTCTGGTAGACAGCCTCCTGTCCCCAGGCACACAGCCTTAGTCCATGGGCCAAGAACCCATAGCTGCCCTATCTCTTCACACCATCATCTCTGCCGCTTTTCTAGGTAGGATCTTACACTTCACTCATGGTCTTCCCTCTTCCCCCATAATCTTCCCTCTTCACACCGTCACCTCTGCCACTTTTCTAGGTAGGATCTCACACTTCACTCATGGTCTTCCCTCTTCCCCCATACTCATGAGATAATGTCCTTCTTTGTCTCTTATACTGGTGTTTGCCTTAAAATCTATTTTATCAGAAATTAATATTGCCATTCTTGCTCATTTTTGATGGTGAGCTTGAAGATAAATCTCTCAATACTAGTAAGCTAGAGGAACAATCAGAAAAAAGAATGAAAAAATCTGAAGAAAGCCTAATATTCAGATTGGACAACATGATCAGAATTCCAGAATAGGAGGAGACAAAGAAAAGCACGGAAAAGATACTCGAAAAGTTGCTGGAAGAAAGTTACCCTGTAAGTTAGCTGTAGGGTTAGTGCTCGACCACAAGATCAGTTTGAACTACAAGGTCAATGGTTCAAACTCACCAGCCACTCCTCGGAAACCCTATACAGGGTCACTGTGAGTCGGAAATGACTTGATGGCACTTAACAATTCTTGCTCAGTTTTGATTGCCATTAGGTTGGTATATATTTTTCCATTCTTTCATTTTTAATCTATGTTTGCCTTTATGTGTAAATTGTGTCTCTTGTAAACAGCATATTGTAGAATCCTGTTTTCATATTCATTCTGCTATGCTGTTTCTGAGTGGTGCATTTAATCCATTGATATTCAGCATTGTTATTGTTAGTAGTAAATTGTTGCAGTCCTTTTGCTTTGTGTTATGTGGTGCTGCTGATTTCTTTGTTCCACATGTTTTCCTGTGCTGAGTTCATTTTTCATATTTGTTGGTGTGTTTTCTTGTCAATTTCGTCACAGTTTTAATGTTTACAAATCTTCATGGATTTTCCTTTTTTTAATTTCATGTGAAGGTATCTTAACTTTCTTTGAGGTTACTCTGTAATTTATTTATTAATTGTCTTTCCCATTTTAAAACAACCTGTTTTATCTTGAACTCTTGGCTTCCTCACCATTTGGAATTCTTAAACTATACTTTTTTCATTTTTTTGCTTTGTAGTTGTATTCATTATAAATTAATATCTCTAATTCCTTGTTTTCGGTCCTGTAGTTTTGTTTTACTTTGGATACTTCTGTATCTGGATTGAATTCTGGTAGTGCTGTCTGCTATTATTTATTCTCAGTCCAAAGGAACACCCTTTAGTGTGTTTTGTAAAGTTGGCTTGTTTTTAACAAAATTTCTGTTTATCTGGAAATGTTATAATTTCGGTCTCATGTTTGAGGGACAGTTTTGTTTTGTATATGATTCTTGGTTAGCAGTTTTGTTTTTCTTTTCCCTCCAAAATTTTGTATATGTCTCCCATTGCCGTCTTGCCTGCATGGTTTTTGCTGAGAAATCAAGGTCTTAATCTTATTGGTTTTCCTTTGTAGGTAACATTTCATTTTCCCAACCTGTTTAAGGATTCTTTTCTTGTCTTTTGTTTTGGAGTTTGATTATGGTACGTCTTGGTGATTTTCTTTTTGGGTCTTTCCTATTTGGAGTTCGTTCAACTTCTTGAATCTTCTTGTTCTATCATGACATTGGCATAATTTTCTTCCAGCAACTTTTCGAGTATCTTTTCTGTGTTTTTCTTTGTCTCCTCCTATTCTGAAATTCTGACCATGATGTACTATATGAATATTAGACTTTCTTCAGATTTTTCTTTCTTTTTTCTGATTGTTCTTCTAGCTTACTCTAGTATTGAGAGATTTATCTTCAAGCTCACTAATTCTGGGTACTATTGATTCATATCTACACCTTTGCTCTTTACAGTGTATTGTCAATTTCTGATATCTTAGTATAATCTTCTGGATTTTTGTTTTCAGTGTTTGTATTTTCTCCAATTCTTTATTTATTTTGTTTGATTGGTTCTGCATTGCTTTTCTGAATTCATCCTTGTTTTCCTTGGCTTTATGGTTGTTGTGAAGTGCTGCTGAATCGGTTCTGACTCATAGGAATCCTGTATAGGGTTTCCGAGGAGCAGTTGGTGAGCTTGAACTGCCACCCTGGCATCTCAAACTGACCTTTCAGTCCAGCAAGCACATTAACCCGCAGCGCCACACCTGGACAATCATTTGGAGGCACCTAAATATTCTCTTGAATTCTTTTTCAGGTAGTTCCAGTGCCTCTTTTTCCTCAAAAACATTTTCTATCTCTACCTCTTGGTCATTTGTTTGAGCTACTCTGTTTTGTTTTTTCATGTGAGCACAGATATCTGTGTGCTGCTTTTAAGACATTGTGATGTTGTATTTGTATTAAGTTGATTAGTGTATGTTGGTGTATTCTTAGGCACTCACCAACTGCTTCCTGGTATGTGTGATCAGGAGATGAGCTTGTGCACCATTCTCTGTTCACTCTTCATGTAGTTCAATTCAGGGTGGATTTGTTGTTGTTGTGAAGTGCCGTCGAGTTGATTCTGACCCATAGCTACCCTGTACAGGGTTTCCAAGTTGCAGCTGGTGAACTTGAACCGCCGACCTTGCAGTTTAAACAGCTTTGCTGTCTGGTGCATTAGCCCACAGCACCACACCAGGACTCCAGGGTAGATTTAGCTGATGTTAATTTTTGTTGTTGATCCAGTGTATAGCAGCTGATATTGACTCTAGCCCATCTGGTGGGGTTGTACAGGGTACTATAGCTGCAATTGCTTTCTCCTGTCTGGTGAAGCCACAAAGAAAACACACCCACAAGAGAGAAGGAAAACAACGAAACAAATCAGCAAACCACAGTGAAAAATAAAATAGTAACGAAGAAGAAAAAAGTTAATTGAAAACAAGCCACAGCTTTCTCTCCACCAGTAAACATTATGCCTACTGTGTCCAGTTACCAGCACAGATTACCAGTCTTTTTGTTTCCGTTGTTCTCTACCCCACACATCCATTAAATTGATTCTCCTTAGTAAGAGCTAGTCCAAGACTGCCCTGAGCTGATGTTGTGGATTTGGTGCACAGCTCCTCCTCACTAAAAAGCTACTGTCAACTTTGCTGTTCACCTTTCTGGCCTCCAAGTGCTTGGAATGTGGGAGCTACCTTTGGGGTGTATGCTGGTGGAGGCTGGTCTTGTTTCTGGTCGTTTGGGTAGTGTGGGGGAAAGAAAAAAAATCATACCTTTGTCACTGCACCACAAGTAGGTTTCTGTAACACGAGCATGTTTTCTTGTCTCTGAAGCTGCATAAAAGCTGCTCACAAACTTTCAAAATGGTTGCAACAGGTTGGGACAGCCACGACAGCTCAGCAGTCACCTTCTCTCTTGCTGTGTCTACTTAGCTCCCTTTCCCAGTAAGCACTCAGTCCACCTTTCTATCCCTTGATCTGATGTTCAGAGTTCTCAGACTCTCTTTTACATCTGTCTCACCCATTTTCCTGTATCCTTGTTGCAGAGGCTCTGCACAGCCTTTCTGCCTAGTATGCCATTTTTAAGAAGGTCACCTTTTAATAGCTCTGCAGTTACTATCTAGAGCCTGCTAGCTTGTGAGTGTTGTGTGAAGATTTCAGGTTTGAAAGAAACCCAAGTTTGAAGGCAGGAAAATGTCTATGGTATTTACTTTAGATATTTTTCTCATCATATTTTATCTCCACTAAATAGGGAAAAAGCTTTTTTGGAATTATAATTAGCTATGCTTGGGAAACCCTGTACAGGGTCGCTATGGGTCGGAACCGACTCGACGGCATTTAACAACAACAACAACATGCTTGTTACTTGATGTCTGTTGAACTAACACATTATTTTAACTACTTTGTTGTTGTTAAGTGCTGTAGAGTCAGTTCCGACCCATAGTGACCCTGTGTAGGGTTTCTGAGGAGTGGCTGGGTGAGCTTGAATTGCCAACCTTGTGGTTCAAACCTACTTTACAGTCCTGTGCATTAACCCACAACACCACACCAGGACTCCAACTATTTTGTAAAACCCTTAAAAAAAAAAAAAAAAAAAAAAGTGACATGGTCCCTACATAGGAAATGGTATTTGGGTGGAATGTTTATTATAAGCTTTAAAAACATTTTTTCTCACTCTTCTCAGTTTGCAGGCCTTTCAGATATAACCATCTCACAAGACATCCCAATAGAAGGAGAAATCACCATTCCTATGAGATCTCGTATTCGGGAATTTGACAGCTCCACATTAAATGAATCTGTTCAGAATACTATTGTAAGTTAGACTAATTGAGAGAACTTCTATTGAATATAATGGGAACAAATAAGCAATAGCACGTTGTAATATTTTTGTTTGGTTCACTGGTTTTCAGTACATTTTACTTATTATTTAAGATTTTTGATCAGAAAATAATCTGGTGCAGCCTTTCTGGAATGCAGTGTGGCTATAATGGGTGTTGTTGTTAAGTGCCGTCGAGTCAGTTCCTACCATAGCGACCCTGAACAGGGTTTCCGAGGCTGTAAATCTTTATGGGAGCAGAAAGCCTCATCTTTCTCTCACGGAGCAGCTAGTAGTCTTGAACTTCTGACCTTGCGGTTTGCAGCCCGATTCGTAACCACTATGCTACCAGAGCCCAGATAATGGGTGGTAGGAATGTTAAAATGTTCAAATATTTTTAAACCAATAATTCAGTTTCTCCATATATAGCATAAGGAAACATTTTTAAAATACTGAAAAATATTAATATACAATGCTGTTCATTGTAGCATTTTTTTTTTATATGTAATAGAAAGTTGGAAATAACACAAATGAAAAACAACAGAAGGAATATTGATTACATAAATTATGTTACATCTATGAGGTGGAATGTGAAATGACTATTAAAATCATGTTTACAAAGAATTTTAATGACGGGAATTTGTAGGTTAAAAAAAAGTAAGGAAAGTATCAGCTCAGCTGTATTTTGAAAATATAAAAGGTATATTTTATATTTGCATTACTGTTTCCTTCCTCAAATGCCATTATCTTTTTATCTAGCTTCTGGGATTCATTTGCCAGTTAAATGAGAATGTTAGAAATTAATTTATTTTATATATTAAAAAGAATGTTATAGATGGGGGATACAGGCTATTTTTCCCTGGGACCTCATCAAATATTAATTGGATTGTAGATAATTATGTTTTGCAGAGCAGCTTGTAGTACTGTTTTAGTTTCTTTAAACATATCGATATTATTAAGTGTGGTTGAGTCATTTCCTACTCATAGTGGGTTTCTGAGGCTGTATATCTTTTGTGAGAGCAGGAAGCCTTTACCTTTCTCCTGTGGAGTGGCTGGTGGGCTCGAACCACTGACCTTGTGTTTTGAAGTCCGTTACGTACTTTGCAGAGCCACTACTCTCCCGTCAATATATTGTTGTTGTTCTTAAGTGTTGTGGAGTTGGTTCTGACTCATAGTGATCCTGTATAGGGTTTCTGAGGAACAGCTGATGACTTTGAACTGCCAACCTTGTGGTTCAAACTGACTTTGCAGTCCAGCTCATTAACCCACAGGGCCACATGAGAAGTCCTTAGGAGGGCTATATTTCTCTTTTACAATGTTTTCAAAATCAAAACAGAGCTAATGGATGTGGGAAACTATTATCTCTGGTTTGTACAGTGGAGTTGATCTGGATTGTAACTCCATAAATTAAAGAGATTTTAGCAAGTTAAGTTGGGGCTTGGGGAGAGGGCTGCCTGACAACCTTCATAATCACAGTACAAAAAGTTGCTTATCTCTTTCAGATGCGTGATTTAAAAGCTGTTGGGAAAAAATTCATGCATGTTTTATATCCACGAAAAAGTAATACTCTTTTGAGAGATTGTAAGTATCTAAGGTTTTGGGGGATTTGTTTCTTCCTACTGTACCATATCAAAATAAAGCATTTAGTATATATATATAAATGAAATTTGGGGAAGAAATTAAAAAGTTAGACTGGAATTTCAAAGTGTGGAAGATTTTGTTTAAGATATTCTTCTCATTGATATCTATAAACTGTATACCCTTACCCGGAAAATGCTGTAAGAGACACTACAAGAAATTGTTCTGAAAGGTGTAATCATCGGGACTTTTTTAAAACCAAAGAGTTAATAATCTCACGGGGAAAGGCAAAATGTTCAAATTCACACTTAGAATAATTAATAGCTAATACCCATTGTTTTTGTTGTTAAGTGCGATCAAGTTGGTTCCAACTCCTAGTGACTCCGTGCAGGAGTTACTTGTGGTTAGCAGTCCAGTGCTTATCTTACAGCACCACACCAGGACTCCTAATACCCATTAAGAATGAACAAATTAATAGTACTTTTATTGACATTTCTGTTTCCAAACTATCATTTATTATGACTGCTTTCTTTATTAAAGAGCAGTTTTGTGATAAATTATGCTCTTATTTAGAACTTATTCTTAAAATTGTTAGACATCTTATTTTCAAGCAGTCTTGATTTTTTTTGTATACCTTTTATCAGAAAATTTTAATCAGTTATTTGAGACTAGTAAGGATTTTCATGAGTACACCTTCTATTTTGATAGCATTTCAGCTATAATGTAGAGATCTCAAATATGTGGCTAGTGTACCACCACTCCTTGTGGAGACTAGATGCAGTGTAGAATTTTTCTCAACATAGTGTACTATGGATTTGAGCTATTGGATGATTCAATACTGATTTTCTGCCCCTGGTATAGTGGAAAGAACATAGGTAAATCTGGGTTTGAATTGTGGGTTCATCACTTTCTAGCTGTGTAATCTTGGATAAAGCAGTATCTGAGATTCTTATTTCTTTGTTACGTGTAGCATGTACTTTGGTGAGGAGTCCCTGGGTTGTGTAAGTAGTTCAGCACTTAACTACAAGCCAAAAGATGAGTGGTTCAAACCCACTCAAAAGTACCTCGGAAGGTAGACCTGGTGGTCTGCTTTAAAAACCCTACAGAGAAGGTCTACCTTGTTGGTGAAGATTAGAGATAATAATGCATATATACAACAAAAAGCAGCATTTGACATTTAACATTATTCTGCTAGTCTAGTGTGACACTGTGGGATAAAGCAATGGACACAAGGTTGGTTTGAACCACAAGGTCAGTGGTTCGAACTCACCAGCCACTCCCTTGGAAATCCTGTACAGGATTGAATGAGCCAGAACCGACTCAATATCACTTAACAACAACAACAACATTATTATTCTGGTACTTCCCCCCCCCCCCCAATACATTTTATCTTAAACCATACAACAACCTTGTGAAGTAGAAAATATTATTCCTGTTTCACAGGTGAGGAAAATGAATCTCAGAGAAACTGACTGTTTTGCTAAGACCACACAGGCAGGGTTAGAACCCAGTATTCAAATTCAGTGCCCCCCCCCCCCTTTTTTTCATTAATTTAAAAATTTTTGTGGGAAGGTTATGCACAAAAACACTCAGGAGTATATAATAATGTAAACGACCAAAGGGGACATTCTACAAGCCTGCCTCCTGGCTGACAGCACCCAGTCCCTCTTTTTCCGTGAGTCCAGAGTCCTCAGCTGCTCCCTCTCTTTATGTCCTCATTTCTGCCTCCATCTCTGGTGTTGCTGCTTTTCTGGATAGGGTCCCATATTCTACTTGTGCTTTTCTCCCTAGGTCCTCTATTTCTGGACTGTCAGATTAACTACTCCCCTGTTTTTGTTACAAAACTTCTACCTTTACAATTGTAACAGTTGCAGTTAGTCAAGATAACAATTACTATTGAATCATAAGAATCTTATCACCATATCATTTTACCAGACCCATCTAGACGAGGTGAAAACTATGCAATGGGGACTCTACCCCCCCTCCCCCTTAAGCTAAACTCCCTCTTGAAAACTTGTCAGTTACTCTGTGCCTTTATTGCCCTCTCATTTTAGGTAGCCAATGTCTAAGTTGCCTGTCCCTATTGTCCCAGTATATAGAGGGGATAGCATTGGTACTTGATGTGAAGACTCCTCTCTCAGTTGGTGTTTTGAGCTACTACATCCATAAGTATAGGTCAAGTTCATCAAATTGTAGCAATATACACTCCTTTCCTTTATAAAAAACAATGGTTTAAAAACATTTTTTTTTTAATCTTCCGCTAATTGAGTTCTAAGGAGCTCTGGTAGTGTAGTGGTTACGAATAGGGCTGCTAACCTCAAGGTCAGCAGTTCGAAACTGCCAGCTAGAAAAATGAGGCTTTCTGCTCCCATAAAGATTTACAGCCTCAGAAACCCTGTACAGGGTCACTATGAGTTGGAACCGACTCCATGGCACATAACCACCAACCACCACCCCTTCCATTGAATCAGGGCTACCACCCAAGTAAGAGTGTTGCATACCATCCCAATCCCCTTACAATTGAGTGACTGATCACATCAGATCACATCATTAGGGATGGTTGCATCATTATATAATTGTCAAATTACATCATTGCATAACTGTCAAACTACTGACAATTGTGGCCCAGCCAAGCTTACAGAGTTGATAAGTTAAGAAAAGACATCTAGTAAGAATGACAGTTTTATTAGAGTGACAGGATTATGACTTTTTATCTCTTTCAAACTTTCTGCTGTGGTTTTCCAGATTACTTCTTGTTGTTAGGTGCCATCTAGTCAGTTCTAACTCATCATGACCCTAAGCAGAATAAAATGAAACACTGCCTGGTCCTGTGCCATGATCACATGGTTGTTACATTTGAGACCATTGCTGCTGTCACTGTGCCAATCCTCTTTAGGGGTCTTCCTCTTTTTCACTGACAATAGTAAGCACTTCTCCAGAGACTGGCCTCTCCAGATAACATGTCTGAAGTATGAGAGATAAAGTCTAGCCTTCCAAGTAGCATTCTGGCTATACACCTCCAACACAGATTTGTTTGTTCTTCTGGCTTTCTATGGTATTTTCAATATTCTTTCACAGGACCATAATTCAAATGCATCAGTTCTTCTATGGTCTTCCTTACTTATTGTCCAACTTTCACATACATATAAGGCTATTGAAAATACCATGGCTTGGGTCAGACACACCTTAATCCTCAAACTGACATTTTTGCTTGTGAACACTTCAAAGAAGTCTTGTGTAGCAGATTTGCCTAAGGCAGTACGTTGTTTGATTTCTTGACTGCTACTTCCGTGAGTATTGATAGTGGATCCAAGTAAAATGAAGTCTTTGACAACTTTGATGTTTTCTTCATCTATGAAGATCTTATTTATTCATCCAGTGGTGAGGATTTTTGTTTTCTTTACATTGAGGTGCTACCCATACTGAAGGGTATTGTGGTCTATGATCTTCATGAGCAAGTATGTCCTCTTCATTTTCATCAAGCAAGGTTTTATCATCTGTATATCATAGGTTATTAATGAGTCTTCCTCCAGCCCTGATGCCAGGTTCTTCTTCATATAATCCAGCTTCAAGGATTATTTTTGTGGCACACAGATTGAATAAGTGCATTGAAAGAATACAACCCTGGCACACACCTTTCCTTATTTTAAACCATTCTGTATCCCCTTTTTCTCTTTGAATGACTGTCTCTTTTATCTTTTCTTTCTTTCTTTATTTTAATGCTTTATTGTGAATTATGTGATAGTTTACATGGGAGGACACGAGCTTCACATTGATCCCGTTGTATATAATTTCCATGCCATGGTTACAATCCCTTCCATGCATCATGGATCAACCAAAGGGTATACCCTGCAAGCATGCCCCCCTGTCGTCCGCACACCGCCCCACTCTCTCTCCAGATCTAAAGTCTCCAGCAGCTCCGTCTCCCCACGTTATCGTCTCTGCCTCCATCCCTGGCATCATTACTTCTCTGGGTAGGGTTCCGTTCTCTGCTCTTCTCCTCTGGTGGTCCCAGGGACCTCCGCTCCTAGACTGCAAGGTTAATCACTCCCCTCCCTTTGCCCCAAAATGTCTACCTTTACATTTCCAGCCCTTATAATTAGTCCTGATAAGAATTATTCGCTATTGTATCACAAAAGACCTATCTGCATCTCCTTTCATCAGCCCTGCCTAGGCAGAATGGATACTACTCAGTGGAGATTCTACCTTGCTCCATACCCTCTGGATCTAGGTTCCCTCTTGAAAGTTTTTAAGCCAGTCGCTTCTTGCCTCTGTAGCCCCTCCCCCCCTCCCCACCCCCATTCTGGGTAGCCAATATCCAAGTTGCCCATCCCTGTCCTCTCTGTGTGTGGAGGAGGTGGGAATGATCCTCGCTGTGAAGATTTGTTCACTCTTTTGAGCTATTGCTTCCATAGGTGTGTGTCAAGTTCATCAAATTGTATCAGATTACTCTTTTTTCCCTCTTCTTTCTTCTTCTGTTTGAGCTCTGATCATCCAGCCATTGAAGCCAGGTCAAGTGGGTATTATCTGCAAGTGTGGATGTACTTATGCATGTGCCCTCTCTTCTTATCAGCTGGATGCTTCACTCTCCACTCTAGTCGTCTGTGGCTATGTGAATTGACTGTCTCTTGGTCTATGGAAAGGTTCCCCTTGAGCACAGTTAAGTGTTCTGGAGGACCCATTCTTCGAAATGCTGTTCATAGCTTGTCGTGATCCACCTAGTCAAAAGCCTTTGTATCGTCAATAAAGCACAGATAAAGGTTCTGTTGTACATAGGGTTGCTATGAGTGGGTACTGACTCAATGGCACCTAACAACAACAACAACAACAACAACAATAACAACAAACATCTTTCTGGTATTCTCTGCTTTCAGCCAAAATCCATATGGTATCAGCATTGATATCCCTCATTCCACGGCCTCGTGTAAATCTGGCTTCAACCTCTGGCAGTTCTATGTCAGTGTATTGTTGGCAACTGTTTTTTAATTATCTTCAGCAAAATTTTACTTGCATGTGATATTAGTGATATTGACTGATGATTTCTGTATTCCATTGGATCACCTCTCTGGAATGGGCACAAATATGGTTCTCTTGCAATCCATTGGCCAAATAGCTATCTTCCAAATTTCTTGGAATAAATGAGTGAATGCCACCATTGCCTCATCAGTGTGTTGAAAGTGTGTTGAAAGAGTTCCATCAACTCCCAGAGCCTTGTTCTTTGCCAATGCCTTCAATGCACCTTGGCCTTCTTTCTTCAGCATAATTGGTTCTTGATCAGATGCTGCCTCTTGAAATGGTTGAACATCGACCATTTCTTTTTGGAAGAGTGACTCTGTGTTTTCCTTTCATGTTCTTTTTTGTTTTTTTAATTATTTTATTGTGAATTGAGTAAAGGTTTACAGAGCAGATCATCAGTTTTACATTCAACAAATCATTCATTATGTGGTTGCAAACCCGTCCATGCACCAACAGTTAACAGCATTTCCCTCTATTCACTTTAACCACCGCATTCCTACCTGTGTCTCCTGCTACCCCCATCTTTCCTCTGCCAACCTTCCTCCAGTTGTACATTACCTGCCCCATCACCCATGTCAACACATGTCTACCCTCTAGCATATGTATCATTTCTTCCCCCCCCAAACCATCATAGACTGTTTCTTTTATCAAGAAATCCCTCCTCTTTTTTTCCCCCTTGATGTACAAAAATAATAATAATAATAATAACCATGCAGGGATATATAATCATTTAAATATTCAAAGGCCACATTCTGCAAGTCTGCCTCCTGGCCGCCAGCACACAGCCTTTCTCTTTCCATGAGTCTAGAGTCCTCAGCTGCTCAGTCTGTCCATGCCATTACCTCTGCCTCCATCTCTGGTGTAACCACTTCTCTAGTTAGGGTCGCATGTTCAGCTCATGCTCTTCTCTCTTGATGGTCCTAGGGTCCTCTGTTCCTGGAATATAAGATTAACTACTCCCCACTTTTTGTTACATATATTTTACCTTTATGGTTGTGACAGTCGCAATGAGGTATGATAACTACTCAATATTGAATCAAATGAATCCTATCCCCATCTTTTTTCACCGGTCTCAACTAGACAAGAGGAAAACTATTCAATGGGGTTTCTACCTTCCTCCACATACTCTGAAATGAAACATCCTCTTGAAAACTTGTAAGCCAGCCACTTCATGCCTTTATAGCCCTCTTCCCCTCCCCACCCCCCCCATTTTAGGTAGGTAATGACTAAGTTGCCCATCCCTATCAACCCTGCATACAGAGAGGATAGGATTGATCCTTGATGTGAAGACTCCTTCCTTCTCGGTTGGTATTTTGAGCTACTATATCCATAGGTATAGGTCATGTTAAGCAAATTGTAGCAGTTTACGCTGGTTTCCTTTACCACATTTCTTTATCTTCTTATAGTCAAGTTCTGATCATCAAGCCATCGGAGCTAGGACAAATGGGTACTGTCTGAAAGTTTGGGTGTTGTGCCTCCCTTCATATCAGCTGGACAGTTTACTCTCAACTGTAGCCCTTCATCCTTCCATCTTAATTTGGATTCTCTCTGCATCATTCAATCCTTTTTCCCATAGAATCCTTTAATATTTCAAGTTGAGGCTGAATTTTTTCTTCAGTTCTTTCAGCTTGAGAAATGCCGGTCATGTCCTTCCCTTTTGTTTTTCTAACTCCAGGTCTTTGCATATTTCATTATAATACTTGACTTTGTCTTCCTAGTTGTTCTTTGAATTTTTGTGTTCAGCTCTTTTACTTCCTTAATTCTTCCATTTGGGTTAACATCTCTATGATGGAGAGTAAGTTTCAGAGTCTCTTCTGACATCTATTTTGGTCTTTTCTTTCTTTGTCTTCTTAATTACCTTTTGCTTTCTTCCTGTCTTATTTCTTGACTCTCTGGTCATGAATCAGATTGATTCTTGTAGTAATCTCTAAATTCAGGTGGGATGTATTCAAGGTCATATTTCGATTCTTGTGGACTTGTTTTAATTTTCTTCAATTCCAGCCTGAACTTGAATATGAGCAGTTGCTGGCCTGTTCCACCTTCTGCCCCTGGCCTTGTTTTGGCTGAAGATATGAAGCTTTTCTACTGTCTCTTCCCACTGATGTAATGAATTTAATTCCTGAGTATTCATTTGTTGTTGAGGTCTGTGTGCATTATCTTCTTTTATGTTTCTTAAAAAAGGTACTTGCAATGAGTAAGTCATTATTCTTGAATATTCTTTTATAGGATCTCCAGCATGATTTCTGTCACCAAGGCCATATTTTCCAGCTATTGATCCTTTGTTTCTTTGTTTCCAACCTTCACATTCTAATCTCCAATAATTGTCAGTACATCTTGATTGCATGCTTCATCAGTTTTTCACTGAAGAAGTTAGTAGAATTCTTCAATTTCATCCTCACTGATGAATTAATAGTAATATTAATTTGTCTTCCTTATAGGTATATGAGTTATTATCCTATCACTGACAGCATTGTACTTCAGGATGGATTTTTTAAGTGTTCTCTTTGATGATGAATGCAATGCCAGTCCTCTTGAATTTGTCATTTTTGCCATAGTAAGCCATACAATTGTCAGAGCAGTTCACTAATGCCTAGGGTATCTATTTTTTTGCATTGCATTCAATTTTTGACAGCTTCCAATTTTCCTAGGCTCATACTTTGTACATTTCATGTTCCAATTATTATTTACTTGTTGTTAAGTGCTGTCGAGTTGGTTCCGACTCATAGTGACCCTGTATAAGGTTTACAAGGAGTGTCTGGTGGGTTTGAACTGCCAACATTGAGATTAGCACTCCAATGCTTATCCTATGTTTTTGTTGTTAAGAGCCATCAAGTCAATTCCAACCCATATCAACCCTGTGTAGGGTTTTCAAGGAGCAGCTAGTGAGCTTGAACCACCAACCTTGCAGTTCAAATGACTTTGTAGTCTGACACATTAACCTACAGCACCACACCAGGACTCCAGTGCTCATCCTGTAGTGCCATTTGATGACACTTAACAACCTACAACTTTGCCTAAGAGAACTACACATACATACCTACTTCTGTTGTATTTTTTAAAGTTATCTAAGCAAATAATGTGGCACTAAAGGATAAGCACTATAGTAGAGATACAATAGAAGTAGGCATGTAGTTGTAGTTCTCATAGGCAAAGCTGTAGGTTAAGTGTCATCAAGTCTGCTCTGACTCATAGCAACCCTCATAGGGTTTCTAAGGAGCAGCTGTTCTGTTTGAAATGCTGATCTTGTGGTTAGCATTCCAGTGCTTATCCTACAGTGCCACATAAAGTTAACCCACTGCCATGAAGTTGATTCATACTCTGAGAGACTCTATAGGTCAGAGTAGAACTGCTCTTTAGGGTTTCTGAGACTAAATCTTGCAGGGAGCAGTTTCATCTTTCTCCTGAGGAGTGGCTAGTGGGTTTGAATTACCCCACCTATGGTTAGAAACCCAATGCTTAATCCAGGGCTCCTTGAGATTAAAGTTAGGTGTGTGACATGTACCATTTTTAGAAGGTAATTATATTCTAAGCTGTGTGTTAGTAAACTAATGGCATATTAATCACTCAACTATTGATTGAGAGGCATTACTGATGTTGGCATAACTGAATTTGTTTTTTATTTTTTTAAAAATCTCATCTATGTTGTCTGTTAACGTTGAACTGTATGAAATTACCATTATTGGGCTATTTTTTTTTTAATTTTATGAGAATAACTATACCACGTTGATTCAATGTAACAATTACAGAAGTATGGTAGAGTAGAAAGAACTAAGGCATTTAAGGAGTCAAAAGATACAAGTTCTAGTCACAGTTCCATTCTGGTGTATATTTCCTTGGGCTAGTCATTTCACTCTAGGCTTCATTTTCATATTCATGAAATACATATAAAACTTGCCTCATCTATTGTAGTCTCAGATTGGCAAAATGACTTTGTTTTCTTGAGCAAATGGAGGCATGGCACCTAGATCTTTGTCTCTTTTTCCATTTGTCTTAGCTACAGCATGCTGTAATGTGATTGAATAGATCAGGGGTTGGCATTTAAGCAAATAAAACCTCTGTTGTTGTTAAGTACCCTTGAGTAGGTTCTAACTCATCTAGTATATTCTAGTTGGGTAGTGGAGAGGGAAGTAGAGGGATAAGAGAAGTAGGAAGGGTGGCCTGGATTGCTAGATCCTTGATCTAAATTCCAAGTGTGGAAGAAGTAGATGTTGGAATAAAGGAGAGAACACTACATACTTTTTTCCCTTAGAAATCTTCTGTTTTTTCTTGCCTTGCAGGGGATTTATGGGGCCCTTTGTTCCTTTGTGTGATACTCGCATTGTAAGTACTTGCATTCCCTTTATTTCTCATTTAAGGAAGACTAGACCTTTTGTAGAATTTCAAAATCAAGGGAAATTTTAACCAAATATTTCATTTAGTACTTTTATGATATATTGTACTCCTTATGTATTTCATTTGAAAAAGTTAGGAATGCCTTTAGGTTAGTTCAAAAATTGATAATTTAAAGATGTTTACCAATGACTTCTTAGTTCGTTTTAGTCATTTTTACTCAGGAAACATTTATTTTGTTTCTTACACCTTACCTATCATGAAACTAAATGAATTTAATATCTATAAGGTTACATACCATTTGCTTGCAAACAATTATTTGAAATCTTAATAAAAATAGGAATTGTCAGAAGAACAATTTAGAGATAAAGAAGTGGTAGAGTTAAATACAAAATTATATTTCAAAATGTTATACTTTCTATATATGAGGGGGCTTCAAACAGTTAGTGTATACAATTTATTATTATTTAATTCCATTTTCCATGGACTTTTTGAAGCCCCCACATGTGAGAAGAGGGGAAGACAAAAGGAGAACAAATTTCCACTGGAGAGGGAACATAACTTCAATAATATGTGGCACCAACCATTGCTCCCTCAGCCCTCTTACTCAGCTGGATTCGACAGTTTGTTGCAATGTCCCCACACATGACTCAGCACATTCACGGTTATGTTCTTTTTTTAAGGGAAGTTAACAGGATCCTAAATTAGGATATTTCCAGAAATTAGAATATATATTCATTCAGCAGCTGACAAATGCCCATAGGACACATGACTCCACCATAAGCCTCATCCTGAAGGCATTCAACTTTAACTCCATGGGTCAGCAAATCTAGCTCCCCCACATAAGTGCCTAGAGGCTCCCCAATTTACAGGTGAGCCTCCTGCCCAAAATCACTTAGTTTTATTTGCTCCATGGGCTGAGAAGCCCGCTGATCTGTATTGTTCTTTGATTCTTGGCTCTGCTGCCGCTACTCCTCTGCCACTCCTCTGTGTAACAGATTTCTGTCCCTGGGTCAAGGAGATTCATTGCACAGGGATCTTGGGGTCTAAAGGATGTGCTCCACTCCTGGCTCTTCTTTTGACGTTAGTGAGATTCCCCTTCTGCTTCTGAAATGGTTCATTTTATACCCATGCTGCAGTTTCAAGTTTTTACAATTACAGTTAACTCCACAGTTTATAGTTTACAAGTTACAATTTACAGTTTAAAATTACAGTTCAACTCCACAGCTGAACCATGTCCTATTAGTACCTTCTCCCACTTTCTCTTACTTAGATCAGCAGGACAGAAATGCTGTTTGGTAGGAGTAACAACAGACTATGGCTAGAAGAGACATTAGAAAATCCACTACACTACAATAACTGCTGGTAAAGTGGAAAACATACTGCACTAGGATTTATTTGCGAGTTATTGTCCTTACTGCTGCCAGGTAGCTACTTGATTCTGGTTGCTAATAACCAAAGTTTGTATAATGACTTTTCTCAGTTTGCAGAAAACTGTTAAGTATCTTCTCTTTCTTGATCCTCCCAATAAGAAGTTTATATGAAGGTACTTCAAAAAGTTTGTGAACAATGGAATTAAAAGATAATGGAATTTTTCCATGAACTTTTTCAGTCCTCTTCCTACTATTTTCCTGTTTTGACAAATTCAGATTCAAAGAGGTTGAAGAGTTAACCAAGATCACATAATTAGTGGTAGACGTTAGATTTAGCCTTAGGTTTTACAACATCTCTTCTCACCTTACCTGCTGCATCTCCTTTTCCATATATATATAAAAAGAAAATGGTTGAGGTGGTCTATCCAGGTCTAGCCTTTTAAAAGGGGGCTTCAAAAGTCTGTGGGAAATGGAATTAAAAGATAATGGAATTTTTCCACAAACTTTAAAAAAATGTTTTATTGTGAATTATGTGATAGTTTACATGGGAGAACCTTAGCTTTACATTCATTCTATAGTATATCATTTTCATTGCCATGGTTACAATCCCCTCCATGCATCATCAACCAACCAAAAGGTATATACTCCGCAAGCCTGACCCCGGTCATCAGCACACAGCCCCTCTCCCTCTCTGGGTCTAGAGTCCCCAGCCACTCCATCTCTCCATGGCATCATCTCTGCCTCCATCTCAGTATCACTGCTTCTCTGCATAGGGTCCCACATTCCACTCTTCTCCCTTGATGGCCCCAGGGACCTCCGCTCCTGGACTACAAAGTCAACCACTCCCCTCCTTTTGCTACAAAACGTCTACCTACCTTTACATTTCCAACCCTCACAGTCAGTCCTGTTAGCAATTATTCACTATTGTGCCACATGAGTGCTATTCCTATCTCTTTTCATCAGCCCCGCCCAGACAGATTGGATACTACTAAGTTCCACAGAATTTTTAAAGCCCCCTCATTTGATTTTAAATTCAACAAGTTTTACATTGGCTTTTCTGCTTAATTTTTTATTAAAATATTGCATATGCAAATATAGATGATGGGATTCTGGTGTAGTGTTGTAGAAAAAACATTGGATTTCTAAATACAAGGTCAGCAGTTCAAACCTACTAGCCGCTCCTCAGAAATCCTACATAGGATTTTTACGAGTTGAAACTGACTCGATGGCACTTAACAAAACAACAATGTAAAGAATATTCTAGAGTATTATTTCTTATGAGTTTAATAACTGTACCTAGGGAAGTACTTCAGTGCTTTGGTGGGAGAGTTGATATTAGAAGAAACTCTGAGCATATAACATTTTAGTTCTGAAAGATTAGCTATAGAGATTGTCATTTAACCTAATTTCTTTGCAGAAAACTGGAGTCAGGATCTGGGTCTTCTCTCAGGCCAGTAAGGGTTCTTTCCATCATACTGACCAATAGGAATTTTAGACAGTGAGTGAAGAGGTATGGCATTCTTTGGATCATATTGTCAGAATGTGGAATGGAATATATACAACCGTAGAATAAGAAGTCTGCCTATCCTGGCAAATAGCAAAGCAAGGCATGACTTCTCTATACAGTGACACCTCTGAGAGCTGGAATTTGATGAGACTGCCTTGTTTTTCCAAGTCTTGTAAGTTTTCTGCCTTTGATAGATTGGAGTCTTACAACTGTTCTATTGTTCTGTATTAAGAATTCAGCCTCAACTCGGGACAGATGTGAGGGCACTAATTCTGGGAATACACGGACTACAAAACATTTTGAAAACCACACAAACAAAAGTAGATAAAATAGATGAGTGGGACATACTAAAAATTAAAAATTTATGTGCATCAAAAGACTTCACCAGAAGAGTAAAAAGGAACCCACAGAATGGGAAAAAATCTTTTGGAATGACACATCAGACAAGGGACTCATTTCTAAAATATACAGGAAACTACAACACCTCTACAAGAAAAAAGACAAATAACCCAATTAAAAAGTAGACACAGGACATGAACAGACACTTCACTAAGGAAGAGATCCGGGCAGCCAACAAACATATGAAGAAATGTTCATGATCAATAACCATTAGAAAGATGCAAATAAAAACAACAATGAGATATCATCTCACACCAACAATAACAGCAAAGATGAAAAATGTAGAGGACAGTAAATGCTGGTGGGGATGTGGAGAGACTGGGACACTCCTGCACTGCTGGTGGGACTTCAAAATGGTCCAGCCTCTCTGGAAAGCAATATGGCGTTTCCTCAGAAGGTTGAAAATAGAAATACCTTATGATCCAGCAATTCCTCTACTTGATATTTACCCACAAGAAAAAGGAGCCACAACACGAGAAGATATATGCATACCAATGTTCATAGCAGCACTATTTACAATAGCAAAAAGATGGAGACAGCCAAAATGCCCATCAACTGAAGAATGGATAAACAAACTGTGGTACATACACACAATGGAATATTATGCTACCTTAAAGAATAATAAGGAAGCTGCAAATCACCAGTTAACATAGATGAATCTTGAGGTCATTATGTTGAGTGAAAGTAGTCAGTCACAAAAAGAGTAATACTGCATAGGACCACTACTGTAAAAGACTAAGAAAAAGAACCCATACTAAAGAGGGGTGGGTGGAATTCTGTGTTGATTGCTGGGATGTTGGGGGTGGGTGAGGGGAGGGATGGGAAAGTGAAGCACAGGGCAGGGATTAGACACAGGTAAGTTTGGGTGCTGGGGACGGGGGCAGTATACAAGAAGGGAGAGGGGAGTGGAAGAACAAAGCCGATGGGAGAACAATTAGGCATGTTTGAATGGGCTAAGTGGGACAGAGGTAAAGAATGATGTATGCACAACCTTGGAACTACAGGGCTCTGGTATATAGAGATTGAGACACGGTTGGAATGGGGAAAAGGGGGGGATCATGTTAAGATGCTTGGCTGTCTTTTGAATCTTGGTTTTCCTTGCATTATAATATAAAATAGACACTGGAGGGGGAGAGAAAGGTATAGTCAGAAACATCATCGTGGAAAGCTTGTAAGTCCGTCTTCTGCCTATAATTGATCGGAATACCTAAAATGGGGCTACAACATGCTCAGTGAAGGAGGCTTCCTGCGGAGCCTCTTCAATACATAATACTATAGGTAGAAGCCTGAACCACATCCGGATCTCCAGAGATGGGAAATTTCCACTTGAAAGGACGAGCAGAGTCGCCTGGAGCAGCTAGAAGAACAGAAGATACTTCTTGAAAGAAAGACCTACAGGAAAAATACAAAACAATAGAGGCAGACAGACTGTTACTCCAAGAACAAACAAGTTGCTTGCCCAGGAAGCATCAAGGCAAGTGGTCGGGTCCCCTCAGTGCAAACCCCCATCCAAGAATAAGACTCAATGGGAATACACACTCTGATTGGTGACCATGCTCGTCACCGATAAGGGGAAGTGAGGGAAAAACAGCAATGACGTGGTGAGCTAAGCCCTACAATGTGGAGAGTGAAGCGTTCAGCTGATAAAAAGAGAAGGCATATGCACAAGAACACCCACACTTGCAGATAATACCCACTTGACCTGACTTCAA